GTGTGGACACATAGTTAAATACATATAAATAAAACATATACCTTTCCTCCACTAGGGACTAGTCCTACAGTTTTAAAGTAATCATTAAATGTAATCAACAAAGGTATATCACAACTGTCCCCCCAAAAGGTAATTTTTGCATATATAAAACATAGTTCTCTACAAATATTTCCTGATAAAGTAAATAAACAATGTAAATAACAAATACTTTGGAATATCATCTGCGGTTGTTATTGTGGTCAACACTTTCAACAACGATTGAGTAAGACATCACATCATAGCCCAAACGGTTAAACTTAAAAAAGAAAAATGCAAAACAAAGCGGATAAATTAGGGCCAGGAAAACATTTTTAGAAAGAGACCGGGTAAGAGCAAAGCCCCAGCCAAGATCTGTTCCAGGTGTGACAGATACAACTTCATTCGGCTGACCAGGAACAGGATGTGCCTGATAGCATAAAACAACCCTTAAGCCAAATAAATTCTTTCCTGGAGAAGAACCACCAACCATTCCTCCTTCTCCCCCACGCAGCCAGTATGCCTGCAATAGAAAATTTATTATAGAAATAAAACTGTATTGAATTGTTAAATTTAGTTGCCAGATATTTTTCTATTTTATTGGCAGGTCTATAAATAACAGGCAGCTTGCACTTCCCACTTTCATAGTTCCATGGTGCCTCAAGTGTTGTGTCAGGGGTTAGTGTAGTGTGGATCGCCAACACACAAGGGTCTTATATAGAGAATCGCTTAAGACTCTTAAGAGCTCATCAAAGCTGAGGCTGTCTCCAAACATCCTGACCCCAGTGAAGAATATACAGGTGTCCCCAACACCAAAGACCAGAACAATGAAAGTGGAAAGAAAATTCAAGGATTCTGCAACTCATACATTAAACAACGTACCTCAAGAAGACAAACCACAATCCTGTTCACAAGTTCAAGAACAAGGATCTGTGAGGTCATCTCAACAGCCACCTTGTAAGTCAGACTCTGAACATTTTGTTGAAGCATTTCTATGCTGTATTTATCTAAATCACTAGGGATAATACGTCAGCTTATTAAAGGTTATATAGATAGCTATTTCAGCTTAAGACAACCTATATAGGAATACCTACATGAGCCCAAAAACATGTATAGCTATGAATGTAATGAGCAGCTTAAGAGTGAACATTATCACAGAGTCAACAACTTCTGCACAGAACCTTTTCCAGTAGGGTGGGACCTTGTATCGCAAAGCTGAAAATAAAACGACAAAGCATTACACATCTATTAGCAGGAAACTGCATTGGTTCATGTAACTCAGATAACAATTATGTACCTCCAGGGGTAGTATTTGGGGTGCGATTGACACCTGGCTGAGCTTGCACAGAAGCTGACCAAGAAATTGTAGGAACAGTTGTTTGACGTCTGCTTGGGTCAGTTATGTAGCCTGGTGGAAGTGGAGGTACAACTCCAAAAAGTTCCGGATGACTCAGAAAAAAATAGGGCATACATGACATTGAGTTCTGCCACAATTGAGCATCATTAATCCATTTCTGAAGTGACAGAAAGTAATCTTCTCTGCTTTTGAAGTTTTCATTGTGAGGTTGGAATGACTCTGTCGTCTGCGTCGCTTCGTCTGGAGTCACTTCACTCCGTTTATTGGAGGATTCCATTGTGACGTTGAATTCACTCAGATATGAGTTACCATATTCTTCAGGAAAGACGGTTGTACGATACTACTTCTTAATTTGAAAAGGGCGAGGGTCGAAAGAAATATTTTCAGAGAAGCAACACATCAACAAGATCTCCGTTTTGTGTTTTGTTTTCGTTTGCGGCGAGGGGGAGGGGGAAAGGGGGCGTGTATTGTAATCTGAATCTGCTGTCACTAGAGAGACAGATTTCAGCGGTTCGGTTTAAATGTGACAGACATGTTTCTCACACCCAATCCCAATATTTTAGATATTCTGGTATTAAGGATTCAGAGGCAACAGGATGACTAAAAATATAAATGCACATATAGATAGATAGACTCCATTTCTTTAATGAAAAAATGTTTAGTGTTTTGGACTTAGTACTTAATACAGTAAAACTTCATATGATAAGTATATTGCTAGGGAGAAAAGGTTTAGTAAAAATACAGTTCTTTGAATTTTTCTCACAGTTTCCACCGTAAAGAAAAAAAATAGTTCAGGGAAGACCGCACTAGGTGAAGAGACCACAGCTGCGTTCTAATTAATGTAATCAATTTTGTATTTAATTTTTGTCTCCAACTGACATTAGATGGAGGTGCTTGTGAACCATCTCTTCCTTATTGATCAAATGTGTTGTTTTATTTACAAGCTGCATGAGAGAACTGAGGTGTGTAGCCCAGGCATTCAGCACATCATTGGGATCCTGGCTTCTAGTAAAGCTTACAACACCAGCAGGACGGTCTGTCTTTGCCTCTATTGTTTTGCTCACAACCATATTTGAAAGGAAATCCTCAGTTTCCTGTATCAAAGAACACACAAATGTATTACAGAAGTAAGATGGATTAGTTGAGATACAATAAAACCAATGAATTGAATAACATACCTCAATAGGAAGGTCCAGAAGTTCTGACATTCTTTTTAAGGTTATTCTTGTGTAGTATTTTGCCATAACACGAATATTCTATTAAAAGAATAAATAAAAATATGATTAATGGAGATTCAGTAAGGCCTCAAACAAATAATTTTAAAGTGTAAAAGGTTGATTTCTTACATGTTCAACAACTCTGTTACGAAGGTCTTTCCAGCGCTTCTGTCCCTCTTCAGTTTTAGGGTTAAACACATCAGTTGCGGGGAACTTGGCAGATCCAAACTTCAATTCTTTTTCATAGATTTCAGCAAGAGCTGACCACTTAATGAGCTCTGGGTTGATGAATAGCCTCAGCAGATCTCTAAAACAGAAAATTATAATGAGAAAGGTAAGATGAAATCACTCCAAATTCAAGTCAGTTTCAATGAAGTCAAATTTTGACAATATTACACAAACCTGTAAGGTGCTACTTCCTCCATGAGTTTGTCTTGAAGTACCCGGTGAGTAAGGTCAGCTTGTTCATTGTCATATGGAGCAAGAACAAGGTACAGCACTACATTCTGCAGAATCATAGTTCGCTGGGCTGCATCATCTCGAACAGATGGGGTGTCTAGGACAGCTCGATAATGTTTGCATGTAGCCAAAAATGAGCCTTCGTGTTGATCAAGCTCAATCATCAAGCTATAAGGGAGAAAATTGAAGTATGTAGACTAAGGTTATAAGAGAAAAATTCAGTTGTGGTATTTCCATAACAATTGAGTGATTGTGTTACGCAATTGTCGATGGTTAAATTTCCAAATGAAATACCCCTCCCCCCTTCTCCCCATTTTTCTTTTAAAAAGAAGCTTACCGGTAATACTTGAGTTTTAAATCATGAGTATCTTCTGCCTCAAAAAACTTCACATTGATCTTCTTGGAAATAATTTGTGTTCTTATATAATCCTTCTTGGCCAAGCATAGACGCATCTGTTCTAAGATTAGTTCAACCTGGAAAATAATATTTGAGATAAATGCCTGTGAAACTAATACATTAAAAATTTGATAAATTTCACAAATATAATACCTTTTCTCTCTTCTCCATAGAACCATAAGTTTCAACTTGCAATTCCTGAATAATGTTGGCTGCTTCAGTTACATTACCTTCTTCTTCCTTCATTTTAGCCAGAATATGGGTAAGGCGGGCACGCTCAACCTCAACGTAGATCTACAATTAAAACCAAGGTATACATTAGTAAAAAGAGATAAATTGAAAAACCACAAATTTGAAGAAATGTTGTATGGAGGTCACAGTACCTTTCCCTCCGTGACAGTTCGAAGTGTGTCAATGAGCTGTACTTTCAACTCCTTGGTGGGCATAGTGTCTACGTAGGAGCAACACTCTTGAACCATCTTCACAACAGCCTGCTTAAGCTGGGAACGTCTCTTGGCTAAAATTTGAATGTGCTCGTTAAGAGCAGCCCAATTAGCAGCGTCCTTACAAATTTGAACAATGGCAACTAAAATACGTCCAGTGGATGCCATGTCAGCAGCCTGGTAAAGACAATGCATGAGCAAATTGATCAGCAAATTCTTAAAAGGTAATTAAGAGATTTAACAAGGAAATATAAGAGCTTACAGTGCGTGTTTGTTTCTCCAACACAAGAAGAGCGTCCAGAGCATCATGCATCTTCCCTTCAGTAGCCATTTTCTTACATTGAGGTATTTTTTCATCGCAAGTTGTGCTGTAATCTACTTCCATTTTGATGATTTGGCCATTGGCATTGGCCAGTGGGTTGTCTGCGGCCATTATAGCAATGAATATTGCCTGAAAGGAACAAAAGGAACTATATGAGACGTAAAGTTGCCGTGAGATAGAACCTTGTAAATAAAAAATGCAGATCTCATTTTAAGAAAGAAGTGATAGCGTAGGTCTACTTTTAAATAGAAAAGTTGTTTCTTTAAAACGGTAGAGACAATGATGTGACAGATAGACCTAGTGACATGCAGGTATTTCACGACCGACATCAGACGGGTGATGAAATTTAGGTGGAGGAAAACTGATAAGAAAAGTGTAGCTTCAATATTTCCGATAAAAGCTGAGAGTGCATAAGCCTTATACAGTTAAATAGGATTTAAACACAAGCTACATGAATGAACATAACCTTTGCTCCATCAAGTGATCCGTAATGCACAAAGAAATATAGAAAAAAAGAGACGTTTTGCGAATCGAATAAGGATTAAAGAGAACACAAATAAGAAAAATCGAGTAATACCGATAAAATAAAAAGCGTATTTACCTATAAGTTTTACAATGAAAAAGGAGCTACGGACAAAATTTACTTGTCAGCAGCCGTACGCCTTCTGCAAATTTTCCAAACAAAACGCCGAAGTAATTCAACTGATGTATGAGAAATTTACGAACAAGGTCTATTAGCAGCTACATGTACACTATTCGCAGGTTTGAGCTGAAAACCACTGACAACTGACAGAATATTTACACGGTGGCTGCCGCTCCACCAAGCGTTCGACGCGATTGTTTACCTGTGTGCTACTGTCACAGCATTCTTGTTGTTTACTTTATTTGAAGCCAAATAACGATTTAACTTAACATGTGAATGAATAGGGAATTCCACGACAGAATGATTGCATTCAACCTGTCACCTATTTTAGTTCCTATTATATGTTGTCATGAGTGAGGAACAAGATTCTGGCCTGTCCTATTTCTGACAATTTCCAGTTACATACCTTATTAAAACAACCAAGAAATATCTGGAAATCATTTATGTTTCTTTATTCTGACTAAATAGCTATATCCTGAAATTTGAAAAATGTTTTCGACTTGCTCTCATTCAGCTTCTCAGGTAAAGTGTTTTAGGTTAAGAACACTCCCTCAGTGTTTCAAATAATTTAACATTCACACCTAATCTATCATTATATATTTATTATGAATTTTCCATTACTGCAATCTGTTTATGTTGTCCTATGAAATTTGCTGTTAAGTATCTTTTCTACACAACAGAAGGATGGCATTTTTTCCCATATTTTAAAAGACATGCATTTTTCAGGTGACATGAAATCAAAGAGTAATGGCCAAGCCACCGCTCCATCGCCCTGCTCCTCGGGCTACGCAGGGAACTTTTGGAGCTCATCAAGCTTTAAGGTTAATATTAGAGTTTTAGTCTGTTAAGTCTCTTCTATAGCAACTTCAATTTGATTTTTATAATATGACTCTGACGTGCCTTTAAATGATCACTGGGCATAATATATACTTGATTATTCTAGGAATCCATGGCTAGATGGTCCTGGAGCGCACCCAGGCCACGGACCAGGCCATGGACCGGGCCATGGACCGGGCCCTGGGCCTGGAAGCCACTCTTCAGGATCCACTACATACGATGGGTACATTCCAGTTAATGATCAGTATGCTCCAGAGCCCCCCCAATTATGGCGCCAACATCACAGTATTGATCCATCGGTTTGTGTGAAATTGTAAACTCAATTCTTCAACTGAGTGACATGCTAAGGTTTTAATCTGTGATGTGTCTTTATTCTTTTTAGGCTCCAGTCTATGAGGTGCCCGATGGTGGAGGAGAGGAGCCCCAGGTTGTCTGCACACTTCCCCATCGCGCAACTCTTCATAGGACTGATAGACCAATGACTCCTGGTGGATTATCACAGATGTCTGGAAATGTAGCTGGTACTGCCACTGGCTGTGGAGGATGTGGAGATGCTTTGGACACATGGTGTTACTATTGTGTTCAGGGTGTATTGGGCATTGCAGCACTAGCAGGACTATCTCTCCTTATTGCCTCAGCTGTCCTTAAAGGGCAACCTCCTCGAGCTGCTGCATCTGCCAACTTGTCTGCCATGCCATACATTGGGGCAATGCTAGCAATTGTTGCAGGAGCCTTACTACTGGTCCAGTGGTTTGCGCGAAATGAAAAGAAAAGAAGGAAGCGTAGGTTGCAACATTTACGAGACCAGCGTGCAGCAGGTAACAGATGAAATTGGAATAAAGTAAAAGTTGGCCTTCTCCCCTTTTAAATTACTTCAATTATTATCTTTTTTAATCTCTTAATAGGAGGGGGTGGGACTTTAAGAAGACCTGCCTGCAATGCCACAGATCTCATTCCTCTTCAAGAACTTCACAAATTTTCAGCTGGGCCAGCTGGGCCGCAGATGCAACAAACCAACATCCCTATGGCTCCTCCGCCTGGTCACCTAGCTCATCAATTTCAACCACTTCTGGGCAGACCGGTGATAGGGCAACAACAACATTCAAGGTATGGTAGTCTGACCTCATTTTTCGGTGAATTCTAGTCTGTACACTATATTGTGCTTATTCATGCTTAAATCTCTTTCCCTTGTTTTACAGACCACAAGATATAATGCTCTCTCCGAGTGGGACTCCTTGGTGGCGCAGACAACAGGCTCATCCAGGAAGAGTAGTTTATCCCTCTTAAAATGTGATGAAGAAATTTATTTAACTTATTTTTGTGATGAATTCTATTTTTTGAAAGTTTTTCATGCAAGTGATATACCATAGCGCATTGAGAGAAAGCCTTAGCAATCAATATTATTTTCTATTGCTTCCAGATAGCTAAAGTTTTCAATGTTTTATGCTTTCCTCTTTTTATTGAAAGTGGGAGAATTGTCATAGGTATCATTTTCAATGGTGCAGATCAGTAGATTAATAAAAGACTAATCTTTTCTTGATAATGCTCAAGGTTCACCAGCTTTGGATTGTCTAGATTCCTCGGCCTTTTCTGTTCCACTTAAACTGTGAAGATAATCCATCTACTACTAGTCATAAGGAAGGAAGATGAACTAAAACTATTTTTGAAAAATTCTCTTTATTTTGTATATTTTGATAATTTATGTAAATATTGTAAAAATATTTTTACTTTTGTTTGACAATAGTTTTGTACTATAAATAATCTGACTGAGTTAGCTTGCTTATTTTCATTGTAACCTGATCAGACCTGATGGTCTCCTTTACCCTGTCAAAGACTCAAGCTTGTGGTACTTTAGCATTCATGGGAATTCAGACATGCTGATGCCGAGAAATAGACGCTCTCGAGAGTCTGACTTTGGTGTCTGTCTTGGCCCGGCCCTTGCCCCTGTTTTTAGCACCGGACCCACTTGACTGTTTATGCGCCAGTCCACTACTGATCCATTTCGGTGGCCTACTAGTCAAGTCGGCGCTGACCTCGCCTCGCGGGGAAAGCCCAGAAATGCTCACGCCGACACTCTTCTCACACGCACAACCCTTCTGCAACCTGAAATGTTTCCTTTTAAAAATAATGAACATACATAATTAAAATCCTTACCAAACCCGAGTGGGGTAAAATGAGGGGGAAAAGGGGGGTGGGGGTGCAAGTTAAGAAGAAGGACATTGACAACTCTTCACGTCGGGTTAACTCGTGGTCACTTATATTTGTTCGTTTTGGGGTGTGCGTGGCCCACCCTGAGAGGTGCTCGTCACTTACGCCCAGCCCCCGTAAGGTGTGCGTGGAGGGCGCGTGGGCCGTGCTTGCGCGCCGCACGTGTAGGCCTACCTCGCGGTCGCGCCCGCGTTGGCGCCCCTCCCCTGCCGGCCCCGCTCCGCCCCGGCCGGCCCCCGGTGCGCCTGCTGCTGGGCAAGCTGGCGGGGCCGCCGTCTGCGTGGTCCATCGGGGTAGATCGCAGGCCGCGGGTCCGCCATTCGGTCGCACGACACGGGGCCTGACGCCATACCACCGTGTGGGACCTTCGCCGACGTACCCGTCCCGTCCCGCCACCCGAGACCATGGGAGTCACCGCCGCGGCGCTGCTCGGCGCCCTCCTGCTGGCCGTCCTCGTCGACGCCAACCTCGTCTCCGACGTCAACATCAAGATCGCCCAGGAGCAAGGGTGAGTCGCGCGGACAGCAGCTGTAGCGGTCGCTAGTTCATCATGAGACCAACAACATTTAGCAGATCACAATTTTAGGCTGGTTCAAAAATGTGACAGCTGATGAGCGCGATGAGTCACATTGAGTATTCTCTGTCATTACATTGACTCGACTAGTAGGTGGAGGCCGCTCGACGGGCGTATCTACTACTGCCGCGCGGAGGTCAAGCCACCAAGTACCAAGCATGGTCGTTGGGTCTTTACGACAAAGAAGGTCATCTACGGATGTTTTTATTTTTATTGTTATTAGATTTCTTTCAAATCCCTTATCAAGCCCCACCGCCGGCGTGGTGGCGGCGCCCGCTTGGGCCTTACAGCCTCTCGCTGCTAAACAATATCCCTGCCCAGGCACTCGGGCACCCAGGCCGCGCAGCAGCGCCGCAGCCACAGCGGAACACAAACGAAGAGGAAAGTTGCGAATTTCCGCCGACTCCCTTGGGCCCCTCGCGAGTGGGACGTGAAGGGGGGGGGGGGGGCAAGGAAGGGGTGTCGCTGGGACGAACGGCTGATGAATGGGTGGAGCAGAAGGGGAGGAGGAGGGGGAGGGATAGGGGGTCAACGCTGCTGACATTATGAGGTATTACCGCTTATTGGCATGCAAAATGACTAGCGCTTGGCGTGGCGGGGCGTGGCGGCCAGCCTTGCTGCAGGACATGGGAGCGCCATGGGCGTTCATCAGCAATTCCCCATACAC